TTAATTACTGACCTCCAGCCAGACTTTGTGTCAGTGACCTCCATGCTCAGGGCACGGCCATTCAGCCAGTTTTCAGTCTAACTCACTGCTCATCCAGCCACTTACAGGACATCTTGTCTATGCAATGTTATGGAGAATCATTATACAAGACTCTCGTAACCTTGTTTGAGAGTACTTTTGTGTGTACCTTTGTGAAATGAAACCTTTAGTCCCGAGATTGTTGAAAAAGCACATTCACAATTTACCTATTCCCCATCCTCACAGTTATGAAAGTTGAAGCACAGTGTGTAAATTGAGCTTAGAAGGTTAAATAGTTTTGGCTTCTTTATGAGCTATTATTAGCTTCATTATTTATAAGTCTCTCTCTTCRTTGTAATGTTCTTCAGCAGAAGGTTATTGAACTGTAACTTCCTATCACAGCATCTTTAATTAGGCTGGCTTTTCCCAACACGTTAGGAAGCACGGTGAAGAACGAACTCTCTGATCTGCTTCTCCTGTTTTGCACTGTGCTGCTACAAACGACTGAGCTCAGGGGGACTCRGGCCTACAATTGCTTCTGTGAATCAGGACAAAATGTTTGATACTATTCTCTAAGTTCTACCTTTTCTTCTGTGATGTCAAAGGCTGCTGTCTAACAAAAAGGAGAAGATTTCTTCTTCAGACAGAAATGGTTGGCATTTCTGTTTTCACCAAGAAGAAAATGAAGAATTTAGTATGATGACCATCTGGCTTTCAGCGGAATCTCTCAATATCTTTTGATTGTTTAGCTCTTACTGTGTGTTTTAAAGCTTCTGCTGTAATGCATCCCCAGCTGGTTTAAGAGTCCTCTGATGTATTAGCTGCTTTCTTTGAGTCACCCGATGCCTGCCATTTGTTTAGAGAGCTGAGAAGTCCACTTAAAGGTAGCATATGCCTAAAATGCCTTTTAGGATACTCTATGCCTCTGGCTATTTTTCTGCCTTGGAGATGACTTTTCTGCTGGTCTTRAAAGAGCCTGGTGGCTGAGGGTTCCTGCTATGATTTTGTCTCAGCAGATTTTGCCTTTAGAGGAGACTTTTCACCATTAAATCTGAACCGTGCATAGAAAGCTCCCATTCTGAAAATTTTGAAATAAATTTTGAAATAAAAAGTTTACATGGAAGAACCTGACTTTCTTCACWTGTTTGTTTTCTTCACATATTTTGTCCCTTTCCTGAAATCTCCAGAAGGAGCTATTAAACACATTACTTGGTAGATTTTATTTAATTTAATCAGTAAATAAAAGCTAAACGAGAAAAAAAATTACTAAAGAGACATCCTACTTTGGAAAGTTAAAAGTAGTTCAGGATCTGATTCTGTTAATTTTACTGACATTGTGCAGCATCTGAAATACACGATACTACTTCTAAAAAAGAGTAGCACTCAAGGTAAATCAAGGTGACCTTTAGTAAGAACAAAACATCTACTGTACAGGGGAGCATGAGCTTCCCCACTCTTGTTAAACCACTAGGGATTGCCACTGTCATCTGGAACACCTGGAGCAGTTAATGAAGTTAACAAAATGTATGATTGAGTCTTCTGCTCTATTTTAAAAGAGAGAGGCAGGCACCTAAAACAATTTCCTCACCCACCTGATAATTACTTCTAACTTTTAAAGTCCCACACTTACATCTTGCATGATGTCATTTACATCTCTGCAGGACATCACTGGGTGTAACAGCTGTCCATTCAGATGGCACAAAAGGATCAGGGTATGGAAAATTGCTCCCCAGAATGGTTTTCTTCATGATTGGCTTCTCTGTCTTTCCCTGAAGCAGTAACAGGACAGATATATGGCACATAGAGTTTTTTTTTGTTTGTTTTTCTTTTCTTTTTTTTTTCTTTTCCTGTAGTAACTCCAGCTCAAGGAAAAGGCCACTGTTTGCTAGCCAGAATACTTAAGACAGCTCTGACAYGGAACCATAACAACAGTAATGTCAGCCAGAGAGCCTGGAAAATRTGCACACTGAGCATGGTGTGTCTTTTAAAACAGTATTTACTATTAATTTRTTCCTTAGTCAGGAAGGATGTCCATCCTTCTTCTGCTTGTCAGGAGACTGCAAAGCCAGACCAAAGAGCAATCCCTGGGCACAACTGTTACTCTAAATACTAAAGATACAGCTCAGAATGACTCCCATGAATGTGAATTCACATAAGCTCTCTTCTCTCCACACCTGTTACTCGAAGAGCTGCCTTGGCTTGCTAAGCCATGGACGGAGCACACAAAGGAAATCTGGAGTCATGGTCTCTGACCCTACAAATGATTCCATGTGGACAGGTGCCTGACTCCGTGCCTTGCCAGAAGTGATCCCTCACCTGTGCCCTGTGCAAGAGAGCCACCTTTGTCTCGAACATTTCCAGTCTGTCCACAGACCTACCCTGTGCAAAGGACAGAACAAAGATTATGTGGGGCAGCTCTGTGCTTTTAGAATGTAAGGGCGCAGAATAACATAGGATAATTTATCCCAATCTTCTTCTTTGAATTTGAAAATTTGAAATTGCAAGAATGTCACCTTTGTAACCTGATCTGCAATTGGTGTTTTTCTTTTGAAGTAGAGTGTGTTTAGCTGAAGGCTACCTTCCAAAAGGGTTTTTAACTGAGCTTTTAACTGAAAATGTCTAAAAGTACAAAAATCCACTGGTTTTCTTCCTAGTCTGTCCCAGCAATTAATCATCTTGGTATTAAATATTGGTGTATAGTGTCCCATATGAATTTATAAGGATTCAGCTTTTATCCATGCATCATCCCCCAGCTTAATTTAAAGGTTTTTTAAATAATACAGTTCTCCTCCCCTCATAAAAAAACCACTTATGTGCCTAATCCACTCACCTTCTTTCCAGTCAACTAAATCAACTGAAATGTTCAAGTTTTTTACTGTATGCCATTTTCTACAAGGGTCTGAGATTTACAGGTTTCTCACCCTCTCCCAGTTTTTCAAAACATCGTTAAAAATATGGATGTGAGAACTGACTGTAGTATTCTAGTCTCACCAATGCTGCATACAGGCATAAAAAATCCTCCAGCTTCTAATGAATACTCCCCAACTTAAATAATCAAGGATGGCATTAATCCTTCTGACTTTATGCTGCAATAGGAACTCCAGAAAATGCTTATACCCTAAATCTTATTTAGAGCCTCATTTTGGGAGCCAGAGTCCCCCCTTTTACAAGAGCAAGCCTGCATTCATATTTGTTACCCAACTTTGCATTTGACTATGAAAATGTGCTCCTTCTAATGGTTCCAGCTTACCAAGAAATCCAGTCTTCTCTCATATACTTGCTCAACCTTAATCATTATCCTGCTCCACCCAAAAAACAATTAGCCTAGTACTCTGAGTCCAGTCCCTATTTATGTTCAGATCATTAGTAAAAACCTAGGGTTCCCAAACTCTCAAAATTCTAAAAGCAGCTGTTCAGCTCTCAGTTAAACCTGGGAACAACTGAACACTAAATACATCTCAGTTTTCAACAGTAAAATATCTCTTGTGCTTAGAATTCAGGATACTGGAGCCCTGACAGTTAATTACAGTRAAAGGCATGTGTTTTGGAAGTGATATTTTTTTAAAAATTATCAGGACAACATAGTGTTAACTAGTACTAGTTTTCTAGTAGTACTAACTACTAACTACTAACTAGTACTATTTAACTAGTAGTACTAGTACTACTTATCCTCCAATTTTAAATYAGAAAAAGCCCTTAAAATAAAGATCTGATAACAAATCATGTATCATCAACATACCAAGTGTTTTATCTTTTATCCTGTCTGCTCCTGAGTGAGTCTGATTCCAAATCAGACTACTCAGTTGAGCTGTAACCTGAGCAGATCCCGCAAGCGAAGGGTGGGTTTTCCGGCACTCAGGGTGCTCAGTCAGATGCAGGGGGCTCTCTGGAGTGGCTGGACCCATTTTCCATCAGCGTGCATTTTACTTTCAGGGAGACACGTTAATGCCTCCACTCTGGGGATGAGMACCCTCTTTTCTGCTTGTGGCAGTGGGACACAAGCCATCCAGCCCCTGGGTGACAACACATGGGAAGAGCTGCTTCAGGAGAGCCCGGGCCTCAGCTCAGAGGCAGTACTTCATGTGGTGGAGTACTGTTGTAGTAGCTGAAGTTCACAACTGCATGTAATGACTGTGGGGCTGGGAAATAAGCTCAAACATTTAGTTCAGGCTTGGACTTTGGTAAAACTAGAGAGGCCACGAATTCTTCAACACACCCACCCCTCAACCCCTCAGACAGCATTTCAGCACGTTTGTGAAAAAAATGTGAATGTCCTCCTCTACTGTTTTTCAGATGCGCTCTCGCTGGCCTACATACAATTAATCCTAGGAAAGTGAACTGACTGTGCTTGCACAAAAAAGGGACTGAACCCTCAGGAAATTTGATGAACTAAAGAATAAATAAAATATCTGTAAGACTTGATTTTCAAGGGCATGAATCATCCACAGCTTACACTTGAGAATACAAAGCAGGTCTGAAAATTGGGACAATTGCTCTGTTTCYGCTGTTAAGTTGCTGCCTCAGCTTCCCTGGCCTTTACATCACCCTATAGCATCAAAATACTTTAGATATGGTTTTTATATTGGCGCACTGAGAGTTCATTCAAACTGTTAAAGTACCTTTAGGGAAAATTGATCTGTTAGCTCTAAACCTAATCTCAAAACTTTAAGCAACAAGCAAGGCTGGTTTTTATCCCTAGAGGAGCTAGTCTGTCATCTGATTAGACATGTCAGAAAACAAATCTGTTGGGTAAACCTACCTGCTGGTGTGAACTGGCTAAGCTGGGCTGGCAGGGCAGAGCCTGGCCCAATCTCCCCTCAGTTTTAGGTGACAGAACTCTTTCTGTGCTCTGCTCAGCCAGCTCTCCACATCAGATGTACTGAGCACAAGACCTGCATATCTGCTGGAGTGACTTTGCCAGTCACCTTCCCAGAGGAGACAGCAACACAAACACGCTTTACCATCAGAAAAGCTGCACTTACCCGATCCTCTTCTTCTCTGACATCTGGCATGGTGCTGATGCACAGGCTGACAGCAGTGATGGCAACAAAAGAGATTGAGATACAAGCAAATATCTTTCCTGGGATCCCTGAGTGGGGGTTCTCYACCATATCCCTGAGCTTTCTCATGCACAAACTCAGTCGGCTACTGTCCTGGAAGGCACATTGCGCAGCTTCATTGAACACCATCTCCCTCTCAAACAGCCTGGCCTCAGCTGCCTCCTCCTCTTTCTGTCGCAATCTCTTTTTGCAGCACCACTCCAGGTGGTCTTCTTCTATGCCCCAGTACACAAGCTCCTCCTGGAACGAAAGAGCGCACATCTCCCTGAGAAGCCTCAGCTTCCCAGCCGTCAGGAATGTCATGATCGTTCTGAAGGCACTAGGATTACGGTCAAAAAAAAATTCATTGCAGCTAACATCATAATCATCGCAGATGTCCATGATCTCATCATAATTGTTGCAAGATTTTAGCTTCCCAAGCCTGGTCAAGGGGCAGTTCTCCAAGGTGGTCCAGGGAACTTTGTACTTAATACCACCCACATTGATGATCACAAACCTGGACCGGTCATCCAAGCGGGCTAAGCAGCACAAGTCTTCTCCAGGATGCAGAAGTTTGGCCTTTTTGTAGAAGAATCCCTTCTTGGTTTGCACTTCACAGAGGTTTTCCAAGTTGTTGAAGGAGCGGGAGGTGAACTCAGGATCTGCATTCCCAGTGAGCAATGCCATTTTGTGGTACATCTGTTGAGTCCATAGGGAGGTTGAGGCTATTTAAACAAAAGCATCTGGAGCTTGACCAGGAAGTCTATCTGTAAAACAGAATTTTAAAATTACAAGATAAGTAGGGCACTGTCAGATGACAAACAATCCTATCCTCTCACTCCCAAGAAACTCTTCTCTATGGCATTACTTTTCCCCCCATTATTTTAGGACTATCTTTGCCTGATAGTCGTTTGGGGAAAGAACTTAAACTGCAATCAGGTCAGAAGCCATGCTGATACTTTTAGAGGGTTTAGTTAGTGCTTSAATGGAAACAAAACCAGTGTATTAACATTTTCAGAAATTTCTAGAAGTTCAAGCTTTATCCTGGACATCAACACATACTGGAAGAGAAATCTAGTAATTTGGATAAATGGCAATTTACATTTTGGCAACTTAATAAAAAAAGCTTAGCTGCAAACTGTTTGTTGATTATTTTAGTGCATCTACATAATATTCCCATTACAAAAAGCCTACATGGTGAGGATAAAATGGATACTTATAGAACAGTCAGAAATGTGATGTCAGAAATGTGGGTAATGCCCAGCCTAAATTCACCAAGCCTAGGAAGCAATAGCAATGAATACATAGGAGCTGAGGGCATGCTGGGTCTGAGCTGAAACCAGTGCTTGCTTGGGACCCTGGAGATGCTGGAGGTTCTGCTGTGGGCTTGGCTGCAGTGGTGGACAGGGTTCCAAGCAGCCTGGCAGCAGCTCTGGAACAGGAGATCAAACCTCAGAAGGAAGCTGAGCTGGAAGTGACCTGGATTGTACTCTTACTTCTGGATAGCACAGAATCCAACCGGTCACGCTCAGAAGTAATTATGTGTAATTCCAGGATTTAATTTGTACCTCCTGCTTACCTCTCCTTTATCACACCACAAACCATATTGCTACCTTGCTTTCTCTAAAKCTCATCACGTGCATTCTTCAAAGCTGTCTCTCCAAAGCAATGCTGGGATGTCTTGAAATGCTGCCATGTAATCCTATTGGTGAATCACCCAAAACTTCCTGCATTGCTCAATATGAAGTAGGAAACAAGAAGTCAGTATAGGACGATTGAGTATCCACACGAAGACCAGGACAGGGAATGGATGTAGTGAAGGGGAACAATTTTAAGCAGGGCATGTAGAAACCGAGAAAGAGCTGACTAGTGAGGGATAAACTGACATTTTTGATGACAGAATGGTAATCGTGAGGCAGTAACTCCATAATTTATAAGCAACATTCTCCAATTCCCTCTGAATCTCATGTCTCAGCTGGGAGAGAACAACAAACAAATGGGCACTAGGAAAAACTGGAGAGCACACRCATTCAAACACATTCCCAAAAGAGCATCTTCCTTTATCTTTAATCAGCTCGCTAACTCTTAACTCCTTAGACTTAGTCAAGACTATCTCTGACAGTGGTGAATCCTTTTACCCACAGCCCTGAATCAACCTCTAACTATTCTTGAAAACCACTCCTAAACAAAACCACTGCAGTAACAGTGGTAGTCCTGCTTCAACATTTCTAAGARGATCCAGTCCCTGAATTTCAGAACAACACTTAAGCCAGATATTTGTAAAAAGCCAGAGAACTGTTGTTTTATGTGCAAAAAGCTACAGCCACCTAAAGATACTTTTCAACACTGTGAAAATTTCAGAAGAGCTAACGATGTCAAAATCTCTCCAATTTCACTTCAGGGAAGAGAAATAATTGCTTAAACATCCGTTTCTACAGGGCAGCAGGGGCAACAGAGAAAAGCTCCTTCATCTGGCTAAGGACCAGTAAAGGGCAAGAYGCACTCTGAGAAATGGGTGCTTTTACAGCACAGGCTCGAGTGCAGCTGGGATTGCAAATACCATTACTGTCACAGCGAGAGCGCACTGTCAGCACAGCATATGCTTTAAGGATTTGGTCTCTTGTTGCTTTCTCTTGGTAAGTTAAAATATTCACTGTCACTACGGAGGGCTCTGTGCTCTTGTTTTCATGCCTAACTTGTTCCACAAGTCAACATACTAAAAGGAGTTTACATTGTTTTGACATCAAGGCTAGGATTTGTTTTTCTTCTCTCCTATGTGTAGCAGGCAGCTGTATAAAGGGGCCAGATACATTTCACAGAACTGTTTGAATCTAATCTTACATGCACTTCTTCCTTCTTCTGAGCAGCAGCTAACTCAATGTGAAAATCTGTAAGCACATCATTTGCTGCAATATCTCTGAATTACAGAGGGTTAGTCTTTTATTTTGTGGATATAAAATGAGGTTGGTTAAATCTAAAGCTGAAGAAAGCAGCTTTTCCTTTTTCTTTTCTTTTTTTTCTGTTATGATCAGTGGATAAATAGAAAGTGAGAGAAGTAGTTACAAATAACATTGCCTGTGGTTTAACAGGTTGATTGCTGGTGGCACCAGACACTGGAGTTTAGTAACTACAGTGAATTTTCCGACATCACGCTTCAAGGTCCCAGAATCCATAACAGTTGGCAGCATTTGTTTCAGAAATCTCATATTTAACTTCAGATTAAAAGATAAGCATGTGAAGACAGTTGTATTTATTATTCTCCTTGGCCCTTGCACYTTGTGCACTGGCTGCCCAAGAGCAGGCTCAGATGTCAGTGGAACAGCTTGTGGTGCAACTTTAGCTGTCCTATAGAAAAACAAAATACTGTGGGCTTCCAATTTGGCATCTATGCTGAGAAGTACAACAAGCCTGGAAGGTCTGCTTCTGATCTTATGCACATGGAATGTATAATGACTTTCACTAAATATTAAAGGGTGTTTCAAAATTACGTGGGTCTTAAAATACTCTCTGCATGCCARGGTTATCTAATGTATGCACATGCCTGCAGTAAAGCATCCCATTGAAGATTAATGTTAAAAGCCAATACTTCCAGAAATGATACTACATTATTATCCACTTGGCATTTCTACTATTTAATCTGACACATGGGTGCATGAAAGACTATTAAAACACRGTCTGGAATAGGTTGCCCATCACAGGGCAGAATTTGACTCTATATTTGTTGCTCATAATTTTGAAGTGCTGGGGGAGAAATGCTGTATGAATATTTCAGTTTGAGGATCATATACAGGGTGGGTCATACATAGTGTGGATTCTTGTTTTTTTTTAAGTATAGTCAAACAATTTTTATTCACTAAGAAATACTTTTTTTGGCCAAGTATGCACACGTGTATGTCTGCACACACACACACACACACACAAGTTCAGCCACGTTCTGTCAACAGCAGACAGCTGAGGTCTTCAAAACACAGGTATTTCTCATCACAGATTTTAAAGATTCAATAAATGTCAGAAGCTCATAACTGCTTCATATTCTTGTTTTTGTTGAATTATTCCCTCAGTGGAGAGAGGGCTATTTCCCTGCTTACTGCCTTTTGACTTTGTCTGCTCCCAGAATGGCTCTTCACACAAACATTCCTCATTATCCCATTCTACCACTATTACTGCATCTAAGTCAGAGGTGATTTTGCATGAGGCTCCCCTCATCTCCAGTTGCTGTGAATATGAATAAAAAATGGGGCAAAATCATCCCTACCAACAGCTGGCCAGCCTGGCGAGGAGAGCTTGAAAACAGGGATGAAGGGAGACAATGGTGAAGCAAAGGCTGCAGGGTGCCATGGCCAGGAGAGACCTCATGAGGAAGGGTGGCCACATAAAGGATGTGAACATAAAAGAGAGTACAGGAAAGTGTCATGGGCAGAGCACTCACAGCTTTTCTGGGATACCAGCCTGTCCAGGCGGCTCTGAAGGGCCTGCTCACTTATGCAGGCAGCCATGGGGGAAAACTGGGACAATTCAGAGGTCTCTGCAGTTGCACAGAGGAAAACTGATACTCTGAGGGTGGTTAAACACTGAAACAGAAAGCTAAGAGGTGGTGGAATCTCTGTCCTTGGGGATATTCTAGCTGATGCCATGTTGAGCAGTGGGAGATAAATCAGCTGAACTTCGGAGGTTCCTTTCTACCTCAACTGTTCCATGATTTTGGGAACAGTCTCTTTTTAACTGCTGCTGTAAACTACAAAGTATTGAAGGTTTAAATTTGCACTACAGTAGCAAGAGGAAGCCATGAGAACTTTTAGTAATTAATGTTTTAAGATCTCCTTTGTCAAATGAAACACATTTTATCAGAAAACAGGTAATTTAAAGCCGCAAATATGAAACATATATTAGGGTGACCACAAGACGTTTTCTCTGAGAATTGAGTCAGTGAATCTTTTCTGCAGTGCTCAGCCATTTGAAACCTGTCACTGCTGCCTGGGACCAAAGCAATGCCCACTTCTTAGTGTGACGTGATTTACAGATCACAGCACTCACAATCAGTTTAATACTAAATCTTACACACGCAATTGACCATCCATTTGGTGATGCTACAGCTAGCACTGCAGAAAAAGAGGCTCAGGAGATCCACATTACTCTTGTACTTACTGCAGTCCAGTAGAACTTGGACTCCCAGTAATGAGTGCCTCACAGTCACTGTGGAAACATGGAGAGGAGAGCACCTGCCCATGAGCTTACAAAATGCAGAACAGATGGGTGCGAGAAACACACATATTTAAAAACAAAACAAAACAAACCCCAACAAAACAAAAYTGAAAAGGAGATTGGGAGGATACAGTAAAACAGATGCAGCTTAGCCTGGAAGGCAGACTCTATGGGATTTGAGGAATTAGCTTCTGAGTTTGTCCACACTGAACATGATTATTTGATATTTGAGCCTGATATACATACTCAGTATCACAGAATCACAAAATCACTTATTGTGGGGAAAAAGACCCTTAGGGCATCCAACTGTTACCCTGGCACTGCCAAGCCCAGCACTAAACCAAAGTGCCACATCTACGGTCCTTTCAATACCTCCAGGGATGGTGACTCACATACTTCCCTGGGCAGCCTGGTCCAATGGCTGACCACCTTATTAGTGAAGAAATGCTTCCTGACATCCAATCTGAACCTTCCCTGGCACAACTTGAAGCCATTTCCTCCTGTCCTGTCACTTGGTACCTGGGAGAAGAGACTGAATTCACTGCGCTACAACCTCCTTTCAGGG